TTCCAGGGCCCACTTTGCCCAGAGCTGGGTAGGCTCCTTGCCTACCCAGTGAGGTTGGCTGTTTGAGGCTCCTTGCCTCTCCTGGCTGGGGGGACACCCATTAGCAGACCAGGAAGGAGACCTCACATCACAGCAAGGACGTGGCTATAGGTGGCCATAACTCCATTTCTGGGTTCCTTAGTCAGTGTTGGCCTTGAGGATTTTCCATCCCTGCACCCCCTACACACATGCTGGATGTGAGCACAGAGCCCCCTGGAGTGGGGAGAAAGGAGAAAGGGAACTAGAGCTATGATGGGGGTGGGGGCTCTGCCTTCTCTGTGTCCCAGGAGAGAGACCCAGGTGCCCCGTACCTGCACATTGCAGTTGAGGCTGAGGGCTGCATGAAGACCCTGGAAGAACCCAGGCGTCCGGACATCTTCCCAGGGCAACCCCAGAGGGCACGTCTCCCCGGGATCTGAATTTCCTGTCCTCACCAGGCTCAGGGCCAGCACTGGGGGTGCCCTTACAGAGCTATCTACTGTGAGTGTCCCCAGGCCTGCCCCGCCAGAGGACACTGCCCAGGTGCGAAGCCCACGCGAGGCAGGGCCATGGAAGGGATCACTCCAGGCAAACGACTGGCCATGGCAATAGCACTTGCTCCCTCTGTGGGACCTGGTCACAGCCATGAGGCCACTGGCTCTGCAGTGACTCGGGCTGGCTGTGTGTGAAGCTCGGGCTGGCCGTGTGTGAAGGAAACTGTAGTGGAACCAGGAAGAGAAGCACAGCCGAGGACCCCAGCGGAACCTGGGCGTGTGACTTGCTGAGTGACCTGGAAACCTATTTGCTGCCATTCTAGTCTCTACCACACACTGTCACTGGGGCTGCAGGCGCCGGTCGCTTGTACCCAGAAACTGGACATCTAGGTGGCTGAACACACCTCCCCCACCTTCCTGATTCCCGAACTTGGGAATGGCAGAAGGGACGCTGGCCCCACGGGACCCTCATCCCCCAGCACCCAGGTCTGAGGAGGTGGGCGGGGCCCGCAACGCACCTGTTGGTGTGGGAGTTGCAGTGCATGAACCAGCTGCGGTTGTTATCCACGTACATGGCCCAGGCCTTGTCGTCCTTCCCCAGCATCATGTCCTTGACCACGCTGGCCCGGGCCACCCCGAAGGCGGGGTCCGGGTGGTTGTCGTAGCGGTCCACATGCAGCTCCCAGTAGTGCACACCCTTGGAGAACGCTGCCGTGCCCAGCACCACCCGGTCGTCATAGCTGCTGCAGGTGGCCGTCTGGTTGTCGTTGGATAAAATGATATCCCGGTGCCCAGAGTTGGGGTCAAAGGTGAACCAGGCCACTGGAAAGGAAGGAGGCAGGAGGAGCAGGTCAGGGGATGGAATTTGCTGGCCGTCTCTAACCTGGGCTCAGAGACACAGGCTCACTCACATCTGTTGGGAAGTCGGCACCCAGCATCACGTGTTCTGCGTGTGACCCACACACATGCACATGCACACACATTCTCTCACCTCTTTATCCACTTTCCCAATCCCACGAACCCAACTTGCCAAGGAACACAGACATTCAGGCCTCAAAGCCCCACATCTAAATGCATTTCAGGGAGTCTTGGCTTCACACACTGCTGTGAGTTAAAGAGGAAGTAGATATTCACACCCCACCTTGTGGGTGGAAGATTTGGGACACAGAGGGGAAGTGATGTGACCAAAGTCACAAAGCTCCATTCTCCTGGTTCACAGCCCATTGGGCAGCGCCCCTGTCTGCTCTCCCAAGCCCTCCAGTGTGGGAAGTGAGGCCCTCCCTCTAAATTATGGCCACTAAGCACAGGGCAAGGATGCCTGGCTCCAGGCCGGGAGCTCCTAGGGGCAGACAGTGAGTGAACCTTGTGGTTTATAAAATGACCCCTCAGGTCACAGCATTTTTAGAAATGCGTCCCAGCTGCACACTTGGCAACAGCAAATGGTCCTGTCATCCCTGAGATACAATCCAGAAGTGTTATGTTTTCCTCAGGGCAATCGGAGGACATGCTGGGATACATGATGACAATAGACACAGCTCAGCATCGCCCTGGAACCCCTGTGGCCCCAGCAGGGTGTCCTGGTGCAGCAGGACAGACTCTCTTGGGAGCTGTTCTTTATTTACATCATGGCTCCCTGCTAAGCACTCGATGGTCAAAATCCAACTGAACATTGATGTGGTCACGTTGCTTGAGACCTGGAAGAACACAGCTAGATGTGGAGGCCATCAGACCTGAGCTCCTGCACTGAGTATCCGGGGGACAGGTTCCCGCTACGAGGAGGGCTCGAACCCAGGGGCAAGTGTGGCCTTCTCTTCTCTGGGACTGTCCTGCCCCCTCTCGACCCTTGAAGTGGGAGTTTAGTCTTCCTGAGCCTCTCAACTACGAGTGTCCTCTCCCAGGTCCAACAAATGGGGTGAAGGAATGTCTGTCTTTTGTGGCTTGTGGCCAGGGAGGCAGAGGCAGGGAGCCCAGGTGACCAGAGCAGGGACAGGGCTGGCGGGGGCGGGCAACCTCACTGCNGACTATATTCCCTATGCTTTACATCACCATGACTATTTTGTAACTACCAAATTGTACTTAATCCCTTCACCTTTTTCAACCAACCCCACTCCCATCTATCACCCCGATAAATCTAGTACCCATCTGACACCGTACATAGTTATTACAATATTATTGACTGTATTCCTTATGCTGTACCCTACATCCCCATGACTACTTTTGACTTTATGTTACTTACACGTTGACTCTGAAGACATTGCCAAATCAGGAGTTCAAAAACTGTTTTTGAATTGAAGCAAAACTGGAATTGGTTTTTCATTTCTGAGGTTTATCTTGAAAGGCAGTATTCATTCAGATATGTATTTTGGCAGTTTTTTAAGAGTAATTTCTCAAAACGGTGTAGAAGATCACAAACATGACGAAGCACTAGTAAAATTCTCAGGAGCTAGAAAAGACGTCTGCTGCTAGAGTGGGTACGTTGAACTTCCTTTTTTCAATAGAGGCTGGAGACAGAGGTGCCCCACTCCACCCTCCTGCCCTGCCTGCCCTGAGCCATCACAGCTCAGACAGCTGAGCACTTGGCCAGCCTGGACCAGAGCCCCAACCAAGCCAGTCAATTCTGGAAAAGCATGCACATTCCAAGTCCAAATGACCTTGTTTCTGATCACCTGTAACTTACTGAGGAATGTTTAAAGAGCCTGCATGTGAGCCAGGGTGCTCTGGAAGCACTCTGAGGTTTAGGGGCAAACAGAAAGCGAGTTGCACTTTCAGGACCGAAGAGCAGGCTGACGACCAAGCTTCTTGTTTCCCCGTTGATAGCTTCCTCCAGCACGGTGAGCACCGGAGAGAAGCCACAGTGAAAAACAGTCGCCAAAGGAGGGCGCTATGACTAAGATACACCAGCCACCGAAGGAGGGCACGGGGCTTCAGTGTGCTGGCCAGTGTCCCCTCACTGTCTTCAGACCGCCATTCCCCCTTGGCAGGGGTTTCTTCCCAGGCGTGGTCACCTGTGTCGATCAGTCCTTGCCCCCCACACAACATGGCTGCCCACCATTACCTCTTAGGGAGCTTGGCCATGGGGCCCCGGGGACCCTGCTTCCCAAAGTGAGAAGCAGAGAGCCCAGCACATGTCCCGCTGAACCAAGGGCATCGCCTGGGCAGGAAGAGCCGCCACCTTGCAGGCATGATGAACCCTGACCTCAGGACGGGGTAGGGCTGCTGTCACGCCATGGGGCAGGGAGGAATCTGCCCCGGCGGCCATGCAGGCACCTGATCCTGCAGTTTGCCCAGTTTTGATGGTAGACACACGTGCAGCAGGGCCTGGAGAGCTGAGGCTCAGATGCCCCTGCCTGGGGGTCTAGGTCACGATTAGCAGAGGCACTAGGTGAGGGCGAGGGGTCCAGAGGGACTAGGAGAGGAGGCAGTGGGTGTCCTATGGGTGACAGCTCCACACCTGCCACAGCAGAAGGCATGCAGTTTGTCCCCACGGGAATCCTGGAATAGCTGCTCCCCAAGGCTGAGTGGAGCCCAGGTCTGCCACAGGGGTGCCCTGTGGTGGACACTGTAATGTCCCCATTCAGGAATAAGGACTTCCTTCCTTGGTGCTGAGTGCTGAGGGCACAGCCTTCAGCCATTAGCCCCCTTCAGAGACTGCCTCACCCCTGCTCGGTGTGGCCCACCGAAGATGGGTGAATGACGTGGGGACATGAAAGCCCAGTGCTGACATCCCAGCTTGGGACAATCAGCCGAGGCCTCTGCCTGGTCTGCATCACAGCCTGACATCTCCCTTGGCCCAATTCTGCTTCCTTCTCTGTGTGGCCCCCAAGCGCACCTGCTAACAGATGTCTGCACTCTAACTTCAGGGCTGCGACCCCCCCACCTCTCCACCCCTGCCCACTAACCCACTCAGTAAACACGGAGCCGCCGTGAGGCCAGTCCCCGGGCTGCCGGGACCTGGAGATGGCTGCTTCTGTGGATCATAATTTGAGGACAGCAGCTGGGAGAGTTTTTAGGTCAGACACGCAGGCTGTCTGACTGAAGGGGCGGCTTAGACTCCTTCATGCTCCTGGGTTAGTTAAGACATTTCCCCCAAATCTCAGCTTTTCCTTGTAACCCATGATCAATTTTTATTTCTGAATTTATCTTAACTCTACGTTCACTATTGTCAATTTCCAGCCTTACCACCTCTTGCAAAAAGGAATCCCGTGAACTACCACTGTTTGAGATGGCACTTTCTAATTTAGAGTCGTGTCATTCCCTCAAGGCTTCCTGGCACGTGTCACACAACCACACTGACCCTGGCGCCTGACCACGTGCAGGTCCTCTGGGCGAGAGGCAGGGTGGCCTTCCCCTCGAGCAGCCCCTGTCCCGTCTGGCTCGAGTCAGGGCCAGTTTGGGAAAGGCAGACCTGGCCGCTGGGCAGTGATTATAGACCATGCCTTGTCTTTCAGTTGTTGGCAGTGTCAAAAGAATTTATTTCAAATCTGCTTAAGACTGTGGTAAAACTCAGGTTTTTCAAAAGGCAATACACAAAGTTCAACCAACCCCCATAGACCAGAAAACACAGTGTTTGCAATCCAAAAAATACAAAGGCTTGTGGATACCATACAAAAATTAGAAAAAACTTCCTGCCTGCCTCCCGTCCCCCTCCATGTTTCCAGTGGAACATGAACACCAACAGGACCAAGAGCTGCCACCAAATACCAACAACTAGTGACAGAAAGTGGATGCGATTGAGGNGTTGCTGTCGTTTTGTTCTTCAATCTAGTTGTGGAGGGAACTACTTGCGTTTTAAAAAGAGTGTTTAAAGGGCCAGCCGAGTGGCTCAGTTGGTTAAGAGCTTGCTCAAAAGTGCGAGCTCTGAGCAACAGGGTCGCTGGTTCGATTCCTGGCCTGAGCTGAGCTGCCACTTAGCTGCCAACAGGCGGCAGGATGGCTCAGCTGGGAAAAAAAAAAAAAAAAGAGAGAGAGTTTACCCATCCAGCTACTCTAATTGGACAAACATTGAATGTGTAACTAATGGAATAAAAAATGTAACCAGTGCAGGAGAAGATACTTTGGGCAGCAGGTCATCTCCTTCAGCAGCTCAGGAGCCTGGTGTGCCCCTGCCTTCACCTCTCACCTCCACACACTTCTCCCAAACTGTTCCTTCTTTTTATAGCTTTCTTCCTTCTTCACTGCCTAACGTACAAGCTCTCAAAATCTCCAAAGATGTCTGTCTGCCGTGTGTGGGACAGTGAGGCTGTATGTGGCAGGATGGGTTAGGCCTTGGTTCAAAAACAAACAGTCCCTACATCTCTGGTTTAAAGGCAAAAGTTAATTTTTTTCTCATGTCACGTGTCCATCAGGACTGACGGGCAGATAGATGCTCTGCTCCACTCCATCCTTATCCAGGGACCCAGGATAACAGGGGCGCCGCCATCTGGAAGGTTCTGAGTTGCTATGGTGAACAAGGGAAGTTGGCTCTTCAAGGTTCCATGTGAAACAGGCATACTTGCCCTCTGCTCACAGTCCTTTGGCCAAAGAAAGCCACGCAGTCCTGCTGCCTCAGGGGGCAGCTAAACCAGTCCTGTGGGCCTGGGAGTAGTAGGCAGTCGGTGGTGCCTCCTCCCACTGTGAGGGTGAGGGGAAGAAAACACCGGAAACCACCAGCTGTTTAAATCAGGGAACAATTGGGAATAATGTACTGGAGTGATCTTAAAGCTGTGGATAAAAATGAACGTTTGATAGTGTTGGGATCATGCTAATTCAGCATCATGAAATAATTAGACAAGAATTTTTCCCCAAATGTTTGCTTTTATTACAAACAAGGATCCACACTCTCC